AGGAGACCCGAATCAGGACTCAGGTTGTGGAAGTTTGACGCGATACGTTGTGGACGCTGTGAATGCGCTCGTCGTATCTAACGTGGGGGGCGTGGGGGGGGGGGGGGTGTGAAGAGACTCGGTAGGGGTGGCAGGCGTTCGCGCAGATCAAAAGAAAGCCAAAGATCCCCCGTGTAGCCTGAACAGACTGTTGGGGCAAGTGCTGTTAGCGAGCAGCTACGAGGACCGGAACGGCACACGAGAGGGTGGGTGGGTGGCCAGCACCACGCTCGGCCGCCTTTGTCTCCCCGAGTTGCGATGTTAACACACCGCACCATGTACTAATTTGAGGCTGAATCAACCTAGGGGAGGCCCAGTATCGATAATCGTCACTGGTGTTGGCCGTGAACGGGATCGAACTCGGATGGCGTGATTTCTACCGCAGCGCGCTAACCACTACGCCACCGCTCCCTGCCCGCACCGATGCACGTTCACACAGAGGCACACACGTGGGCGAGCGGTGGCGCAGTGGTGAGCGCACCGCGGCGGGAAACTGGCCACGTGAGTTCGACCACCGCTCACGGCGAGCAGAATGTGAACCGGTCCTGGCCGCTTTGCTCCCTTCACCAACCCGCGCTGCCCAGCGGGGTGAAGTATGGTCAAACAATCCTCGTCAGAGAAAGGGCTGCAAATCGTTACTGTTGTTGTTGAAAAGTGTACAAAGCAGAGATAAATGCTTTAAAAACACACACTCACGTTTCCGCCTACACGGTTTACCCAGGAAAGCATCATTGAGTCTCAAGACTCTTCTTAGGGAGGGTCCTGCCAAGTGAAGGCAACAGCGGATAACGTTGCTGCTGCTGCTGCTCTGTGTGAACCCAGTTGAGTAGTTTGGGGTTGTCTTTGCCCAATCCCAGTCACATCGTCGTGGTCGTTCTTCGCGATGGCAGGACGCGGAGGGCCTCGAGGAACAGGGCCGGGGGGAGAACCCTGCCTCGCGGCCACGCCGCCGGCCGTAGCGAGCACCGATGGGGCTGGGGTGGTCAGCACCACGCCCGGCCGCCTTTGTCTCCCGGTGCCGATGCTTTAGACACCGCACCGAGTACTCACTTAAGGCCAGGTCGACCTAAGGGAGGCCCAAGACCCGTTCACATTGGCGCCGTGACCGGGATACTCGGGTTGCCAGGATCGTAACGCAGTGCGACAACGGCTGCGCCACCGCTCCAACACTCGCACGCACGCACACACACACACGGACACACCACACACACACGGACACACCACACACACACGGACACACCACACACACACGGACACACCACACACACACATAGGGACACACACACGGACACACACACACACGGACACACCACACACACACACGGACACACCATACACACACACATAGGCACATGTGCAGAGATATACAGAGACAGACCCCCCGTGTAGCCTTTACAGGCTGTTGGAGCAAGTGCTGTTAGCGAGCACCTACGAAGGCCGGAACGGTACGCGTGGAGGTAGGTGACTAGCACCACACCCGACCGCCTTTGTCTCCCGAGCAGTGATGTTTACACACCGCACCAGGTACTCATTTGAGACTGAGTCACCGTTTCCGGCTGTGAGCGGGAGTTGAACTCGGGGGGCCGGGCACACAATCACCCCGCCGCACACGAACGCACACACACGCACACACACGCACACGCACAAACGTACACACGCGCACACACACGCACACGCACACACACGCACGCATAATATAAGCACACACGCACACACACGCACTTATAACATAAGCACACACGCACACACACGCACGCATAACATAATCACACACGCACACTCACGCATGCATAACATAAGCACACACGCACACATACATACAGTACACACGCGCGCACGCGCACTCACACGTGGCGTTCTAGAGGAGACGTGAATCCACAGAGGGCACTGCTTTGGTCACCAGGACGATGCTAATTTCATGGATGTAGAGGCGACCCCGGGGGGCAGGTTGAGTTTGTGTGTTTGGGTGTTTTGTGTTTGTGTGTTTGGGTGTTTGGACCCCCTAATGGAGCATCTTCGCCGGTTAGAAACATTTAGGCGGGCCTGCCTAAGATCCATCCTGGGTTTAACCAGGCTGGATTGTGTGAGGAGCTCACAAATCCTTGAAAGATCTGGGCAAAGTCCCATCGGTGAGCTCCTCCTGCAGGAGAGGCTGCGTTGGCTGGGTCATGTAGCCCGGATGCCCAGCCACCGCATGCCCAAGCAGCTTCTGTTTGGCATATAGAGGGGACTAAACGGGCGCGGCACGGGCTGGAGAAGAGATGGAGTGATGTGGTACAGGAGGACGTGGAGCTGAGTGGACTTGCCGATGACTGGTACCAGCGGTGTCAAGATCGGCCTCTGTGGAGGAGGCTCGTGAAGGACGTTACTGGGCAGTTGGAGGCAGTCGCCCTCCAACAACAACGGAGGGCGGAGGAGCGACGTTCACAACAACGAGCGGAGCACCGGGTGGCTAAAGCACAGCAAGTTGGCACAGTAGGGGGCACAGGTAGTGCATCAGCCAGTCATCTCAGTTGACCCGTGGCACCCGGGTCTGCCCCGTGACCTCCTGCCAGCGGGCGTTCTAAACTTCACGTGGCCTCAAGGTGCACATGGCCTGGCACAAGCGTCGCGGTGACGTCACCGCCACTTAGTGGCGAATGTTGTTGTTGTTGGGTGTTTGTGCGAGGTTAGCGCGCCGCACTACGAACCTGGCGATCCGAGTTTGATTCCCAGCCAAAACCAGTGACGATTATCTTAACCGGTCCTGCCCCCCCTAGGTCGACTCAGTCTCAAATGAGTACGTAGTGCGGTGTGTGAACATCGCTATTGGGAAGACAAAGGCGGCCGGGCGTAGATATGGCCACATCACCCCCTCGTGTGCCGTGCGGGCATTCATAGGTGCTTGCTCAAAACACTTGCCCCAACAGTTTGTTAAGGCTATACGGGGGATCTTTTTATTTGTGTGTGTGTTTGTTTTGTATGTGTGTGTTTGTTTTGTGTGTGTGTTTGTGCGGGTGAGTGTGGGGCTTTGTGCGGGGTGTGTGCGTGTGTTTTTGCGGATGTGTGTGCGTTTTCCGTGCCGGCCTTCATAGGTGCTCGCTAACAACACTTGCCCCAACAGTCTGCCAAGGCTATACGGGGGATATTTGTCTTTGCGTGAGTGTAAGCCTATGTACTAGTGAGTGTACTGCAAGCGCGTGCGTGTGTGTGTGTGGAGCGGTGGGGTGGCGGTGAGCGCACCGTGACATGTACCCGCCGATGCGAGTTCGGCTCACGGCCAGCGCCAGTGACGATGCAGCCTCGAATGAGCACCCGGTGGGATGTGCCGTAAACATCGCCACTGGGGGGAGACAAAGACGGCCGGGCGTGGGGCTGGCCGCCTACCCCCTCGTGTGCCGTGCCGGTGCTAAGCGAGTGCTCGCGAACGGAATTTGCCCCAAAAGACTACTTAAGGCTTTACGGGGGATCTTTGTCCTTATGCGAGTGTGTGTGTGGTATGTGTGTGTGTGTGGTATGTGTGTGTGTGTGATCGTGTTGGGTGTGTGTGTGCCAGCCTGCGAGTGTGTGTGTGTGTGATCGTGTTGGGTGTGTGTGTGTGTGTGATCGTGTTGGGTGTGTGTGTGGTATGTGTGTGTGTGTGATCGTGTTGGGTGTGTGTGTGTGCCAGCCTGCGAGTGTGTGTGATCGTGTTGGGTGTGTGTGTGTGCCAGCCTGCGAGTGTGTGTGAGTGTGGCATGTGGGTGTGTTTGTGGTATGTGCGTGTGTAATCGTGTTGGGTGTGTGTGTGTGCCAGCCTGCGAGTGTGTGTGCGAATTGTATGTGCGTGTGTGTGGTATGTGCGTGTGTGATCGTGTTGGGTGTGTGTGTGTGGTATGTGTGTGTGGTATGTGCGTGTGTGATCGTGTTGGGTGTGTGTGTGGTATGTGTGTGTGTGGTATGTGTGTGTGTGGTATGTGCGTGTGTGGTATGTGCGTGAGTGATCATGTTGTGTGTGTGACAGCCTGCGAGTGTGTGTGTGGTATGTGTGTGTGGTATGTGCGTGTGTTATCGTGTTGGGTGTGTGTGTGGTATGTGTGTGTGTGGTATGTGTGTGTGTGGTATGTGTGTGTGTGGTATGTGCGTGTGTGATGGTGTTGGGTGTGTGTGTGGTATGTGTGTGTGGTATGTGTGTGTGTGGTATGTGCGTGTGTGGTATGTGCGTGTGTGATCGTGTTGGGTGTGTGTGTGGTATGTGTGTGTGGTATGTGTGTGTGTGCTATGTGTGTGTGTGGTATGTGTGTGTGATCGTGTTGGGTGTGTGTGTGGTATGTGTGTGTGTGGTATGTGTGTGTGTGGTATGTGCGTGTGTGATCGTGTTGGGTGTGTGTGTGGTATGTGTGTGTGGTATGTGTGTGTGTGGTATGTGTGTGTGTGGTATGTGTGTGTGTGGTATGTGCGTGTGTGATCGTGTTGGGTGTGTGCGTGCCACGCGTGGGGTGGGGGGGGATTGCCCGACGATCCGAGCCGAGCGGCCGGCTGCACCACGAGAGGCTAAAGTGGAGCGAGGCGAGGGGGACCCCCCCCCAACCCCCCAATTCCCCTCCGTGACCATCTTCTGCGCGCTCCACCTTTGTCAAGGGGGGGGGGGGGGGGACACAACGCCTCGTAGCGCAACGCGCATGACGCCGGCGAAGCGTTGGTTATAATCGTGGTGACGTCTTCGCTGTGATCGACTTTGTAATGGAGCTGTCGCGCGTTAGAGATGTCCAGACACTTTAGAGCCCATTTCGTAAGTTGGAAACTATAGAAATGATCCCTGAAAGTATAGTCTAGAGATGTCGAGCGCCTCGTCCCCACCCCTCCAGCCCCGCCGCCCCTCACCCCCCTTGCGTGTCCCCCCCACTCCACCCCCCCACTCCACCCCCCCCTACTCCCCCCCCCCTTACTCCCATGTAAATGCTCGGCGTGTAACGCGCCGCTGCCGTGTCCCCTGCTCGCAGAAAGGACGCGGATTGTTGAGGCTGCGGTCGGGACGCCGCTTGGGTCATGAAAGGATCAACGCGGGGACCCCTGACGCAGGCCCCGCGTTCCCCACCACCACCAGCAGTACCACCAGCAGCACCACCAGCACCAGCAGCACCACCAGCACCACCAGCAGCAGCAGCACCACCACCAGCACCAGCAGCAGCACCACCAGCACCACCACCAGCATCAGCAGCAGCACAACCAGCACCAGCAGCACCAGCAGCAGCACCAGCAGCACCACCACCAGCAGCACCAGCAGCACCAGCAGCAGCAGCACCAGCAGCACAGCACCACCACCAGCACCAGCAGCACCACCACCAGCACCACCACCAGCATCAGCAGCACAACCAGCACCAGCAGCACCACCAGCAGTACCAGCAGCACCACCACCAGCAGCACCACCAGCACCAGCAGCACCACCACCACACACCACCACCAGCACCAGCAGCACCAGCACCAGCAGCACTACCAGCACCACCAGCAGCAGCAGCACCAGCAGCAGCACCACTAGCACCATGGCCACCACAAAAAGCCACCCTCACCAGGCGGCACCGAACGACCTCAAGAGTCACCGCTGCTGCCCGTGTCGCTGCCCCCTCCTCCCCCACTCGGCCGGCTGGCGAGTGGGCACGGGGGCGCGCCGCACGGAGCGTCGGGGACATCGCGAACAATGCTGCGGCAGCCCACGGCGCGGTCTTCCACGGAGCGTGAGACTCTCTTCGTCAGGGTTGTGTGGTTACGCAAGACGTCTTCTATTTATATTGCGGCATTGAGAAAAGGAAAAAAACACATCGGCGACGGCGGCGTGGACGCGTAGCGCCAAAAGAAACCCTCCAGGCGACGAATACGCACACTGTTTTAAACATCCATTTTCTATCTCACCCCTTCCCCCCTCGCCCCTCCCGTTTGTTCGTCTCGTTCCGTAGCGACCCAAACAACAACAACAACAACAACAACAACAACAACAACAACAACAACAACAAGAGTTAGACAACGCATCGCCCCGTGCGGGCGACGCTCTTCTGTACATAACGACGATGACGATGATGGCGATGATGATGATGATGGTGATCCCTGGAGGGTAGCGGGGGGGGGACATTGGCGTGGCGTGCCGAGAGCTCACGGCACGCGGCAGGAGAGGAGGAGCCGAGCGGGCCACGTGGCGGCAGCCGCATGCGACCTCTGCGTTATCTTTAGTCCAGGGGGGGGAGTGGGGTGGAGGTGGAAGGGGGTGGGGGGCAGCTCGTGAGATGCCCCTCGCCTCTGCGGCGACTCGCGCCCCGCTCCACCCACGGCGCGCAACGGCGGCGAATTAATTCAGCCATCAGCCAAACGAAAACAACAACAATCACTGCAGATGCGCCGCGTGTCTGTGACGCCTCTAAGTGCGCTCAGTGTCAACATGACTCCCCCCCATCAACCCCACTACGCCCCCCCCCACCGGCGGAGAGGGAACCAGAGTCTCGCCGTCGCTCGCCGCGGGACGCGGTCGCCGCGTAGCGTCCACGACGAGACGCTGGCCGAGTGCATGAAGACAACGCGCGCGACATTTACTGTTTGTACAGCGCGGGTTTCTCTCCCTTCCTCTCTCCCTGTGTCTCTCTCTCTCTGTGTATCTCTCCGTCTGTCTATATGTCTCTGTCTGTCTCTCTCTGTGTTTCTCTGTCTGTCTATCTCTCTCTCGCTCTGTGTTATTGCGACGCGACAGCCTGACCGCGGTGCACGGCCCCCACGTATCTATCTATGCATGACCCCGTGCACGCTTTCGGGCGCACCGCCACATCCGCTGCGCTCTCTCCCCTCTCTCGTTCCCGTTTCTTACCCCCCTCTGTTCTCTCTCTCTCTCTACGCTCTCTCTACTCCCATTCTCTCCCTTCACTCTCTCCTCTCTCTCTCTCTTTTCTACACCGCATCCCCGTTACTCTCCATCTGCCTCCACGCTTCCTCCTCTCTCTACTCTCACTAATTCCCTCTCTCCCCTGTCACTTCATCGCTCTCACATTCTCTCTCACGCCTCTCCCCCACCCTGCTCCAGTTCGATGGCTGCACGGACCCTGGCGCGGGCAATACCCCCCACCCCCAATACCCCCCCACCCCCATACCCCCCACCCAATCCCCATACCCCACCCCCATACCCCCCCATCCTCCGTACCACCCCCCACCCAAACCCCATACCCCCCCACCCCCCATACCACTCCCCATACCCCCCACCCATCCCCCATACCACTCCCCACCCAACCCCCATACCCCCCTCTCTTCGTGTCCCGGCGCCTGGCCCCCTTCGGCGCAGTTCCACCGCCTGCACACCCGGAGCTACGCCACTGCCCTCCTCTCGCTTCTCTCTCTCCCTAACCTCGTCCCCTGCTTCTCCAATCTCGTTTCTGTCCTCTCCCTCGTCTCGCTCTGCTGTCCACGATTGTTTATCTCCCCCCTCTTCTCTTCCCCCTCTCCCGCGTGGCATCTCTCCCCATCCTCTCCACTCTTCCCTCCCTCTCCTCCCGCTCTCTTCTCGAGCTCCCGTCCCTCCTCCTCTCTCTCTCACTGTCACTCTCTTTCGCTCCTCTCCTCTTTCTCTTCACTACCTCCCCCCGTCGCCAAGCACAGACGGACAGGGCGGAGGAGGAGGGAGCGCGGTTAGGGAGGGGGAGCAGGCAACGGTGCAGGGGGGGGGTCTGCCCCCTTCCCTCGCTCCTGCGCATCCCCGCGCTCCGTAACCGATCGGCGTGGAGGTTGAGGTGGTGGTGAGGGGGAGGTGGGTGGTGGTGATGCTAATTGATGGCTGCCGTGGCTGTTACTCTGACTCGCAGCATCGCCCCCTCTTGGTCGGTCCCGCTGCCTCGCCCGCGCCGAGTCAGGGCGGGCGAGGCCCAGAGGGGGGAGCGCGACCCCCCCCCCCCCCACGGCGCAGGCTTCACGCGTCACGCGACGTGAGTGGCCTCGCGTGTGTCGGCACGGACCCTGGGGCAAGCAGGGGTGGGGGGGGGGCGAGGGCCCCCTGCCTCCCCCCTTTTGTAACCTGGCACCTTTGCTCATCCTGCGCAGTTGCACCGCCTGCACACTCGATAGTAAAAACAGCAGCAGCAATAGCGACACCACGCGCGGTGCACGCGGCGCTTGCGTTTGACATCTTGAATTGTGTTGCCTCTCCCTGCCTCTGTCTCTCTCCCCCTCTCCTCTCACCCCCTCCCCTCTCTCTCCCCCTCCCCTCTCTCCCCCTCCCCTCTCTCTCCCCCTCCCCTCTCTCTCCCCCTCCCCTCTCCCCCTCTCTCTCCCCTTCCCCTCTCTCCCCCTCCCCCCTCTCTCCCCCTCCCCTCCCCTCTCTCTCTCCCCAATGTCGCTCTCTGCGTCTCTCGTGAATGAGAGGGCACCGCGACTCCGTGGTCGGGGCGCGCCTTCGGAGTCTCCCTCCCCCTCTCTCTCTCCAGCACTTTATAATAAAGCCTGTCCGCCTCGACTCACGTGGGGCTCGTGTCGGTCACTCCGCGAGGCGCCGCCAAGACTCCCCCTGGGTTCGCTCGGCGCGCATCATCGGGATTGTCCGCGGTGACCTCTTCCACTTGAACTGGAGTGCCTCTCCATTCACCCCGAGGAGGTGTGCTTTCATAGGGGGCACACCGTGTGTGTGTGTGTGGAGGGGGGGTGGTAAGGGGCGAAATGCTATTTATTAGGGGGCACATACCCCCCCTCAGGATGACCCCACAGACTCGCCACTCGTAGCGGAGAGTCGGGGTCCGCCCTGGTGGGGGCTGTCGCCGTGAGTGGATGAGGATCGATGGCAATCGACGTCGCCACGAATCGTGCGCGGGTCACTCTGCGGTGCGCGCCCCGCACGGCGCGCTGCTGCTGCTGCTGCTGCTGCTGCTGCTGCTGCTGCTGCTGCTGCTGCTGCTGCTGCTGCTGCTGCTGCTGCTGCTGCTGCTGCTGCTGCTGCTGCTGCTGCTGCTGCTGCTGCTGCTGCTGCTGCTGCTGCTGCTGCTGCTGCTGCTGCTGCTGCTGCTGCTGCTGCTGCTGCTGCTGCTGCTGCTGCTGCTGCTGCTGCTGCTGCTGCTGCTGCTGCTGCTGCTGCTGCTGCTGCTGCTGCTGCTGCTGCTGCTGCTGCTGCTGCTGCTGCTGCTGCTGCTGCTGCTGCTGCTGCTGCTGCTGCTGCTGCTGCTGCTGCTGCTGCTGCTGCTGCTGCTGCTGCTGCTGCTGCTGCTGCTGCTGCTGCTGCTGCTGCTGCTGCTGCTGCTGCTGCTGCTGCTGCTGCGGCGGCGGCGGAGTCCACGCGGGTCGCTCCACTCAGCCAGAGCACCGGCGAGATCCTCGGGTGCAATCGTGGCGGTCGAACCGCGGAGGGGGATGGATCGTCACAACTGTGAGTGATGGTGTCGGACAGATCGTTAAACCTCACCTCCACCA